AAAAAAAAAAAAAAAAAATTGCAAATGAAGAAATGGGGCCAAAATCCAAATCATCAGTTTTTCCCAAAACAAGACCTGAAGACATATGCGAGGTAGCGAGATTTTACATCTTCACGTCTGATTACTAGACGTGGCACGAACTAAACGTCGATATAGAGTTGTTCAGGATCTTCTTTGGTGTGAGAAAGAGACAAAACACTTTGGATTGAGAAAAAAAACCTTGACACACTTTTATTAGTAGAAAAGCAAGTAAAAGTAGAGCAATACGACATGGACCGCCATACACCAGTCAACGGCAATACAACTGCCACCTTCTTTTTTCATTTTCTTATTCCCGTTCCCTGTTTGATCTATTTAAAATTCCCGCCCATTCTTCCGTCCATGAATTATTGATGTATTAATTATGAAGGCAGCGCGCCGGCTCCACGCGCACCCCTCCGCACTAGGCCCTGGGCAGAGCGCCGCGGAGCGCGGGCAGCGGCATCAATCATGAATGGGAATCAACCCCTCTCCGCCACTTCCCCCCCCCCTTTACCTTTGGCCACCGATAGCGCCTACTGACGAGGCAAGCAGAGGAAGACACACGGCAAATAGTATCTACAAAGTATTTGCAACAACGCCTTATTATGCACAAGACACCCAAAGTCTCCACAAGGACCTTACCTCTTCTCGCATCAGTACACTGCAAATCTCTATCGACATCTGCGACCAAAAAAAATACACACCTTCCTTTGCGTTTTTTTACGACAACTGTCAAACTTTTGCTGCACCAAATCTAACGCCACTCAACATTTCAGAGCCATAGGTACAAAACATTCCACTCTACATTCTCAACCTTTGCCCAGTGAGCAAGCGGTTAAAAATTAAGCCAGTGTATATGGTGCGGCCCCCGGCTTGCAGCGCTCCCACCGACACAATCCCCGTGCGTCGCGGCACAGGTGCGGCTGAGGCGGGCGGGGCACGTCAAGGGTTTTGGTCGAGTCCGCCACAAATCCCTGCTCCATCGTCTCCACGTGCAGAAAGGTGGACCTCGCTCCTGAGACTGAAGGGAACAGGAGGGGGGGGGGGGGGCAAGAAAGTCAACTTTCAGCAGTCCGCGGGCTGGCGAGAGGAAGAGATTCCATCAAAACCTGGTACAGCCGAGCAAAGCAGTGCCTGTGTGGATTACTTAGGTGAGGTCAGAACAATTTATTGTATTCACTTGCACCAATTAACGCTTAACTTCAGGCATGCCCTTCCGAAAATGCAAGGTTAAGACAGATAGATTCCTACACACGAGATAAGGACACTATTGTCCTTGCCCTGCTCTCTCTGCAGTTGAAATTATACACCCCAAGTGTAGAACTTTCCCACTCTTATCCACTTTGGCAAAAAGAGTAGGACTAGCCCATCCTTGCCTTTCATGAGTAGAAATTTTGGCACTCTGGCAAAAGTAGAGCTGTACAGCTCTCTTGCATTTTCAGAGCAAACAGACAGACATCGTTATTTATTGAGAAAATTGGCACATGAAAATGAACGGTTTCATTGGTGGAAGCGTTTACCCTTGGGTAAATTTCGCAGTCAGTTAAGCAACATTTCTGAATAGGGTCCATTTTGAACACAGCGGTCCACGAATGCTGGCGCGCTCGTAGTTTTACACATCGCTGTCGGAAGTCCTTTCATATCAATTCAAATACACACACGCACCGTAGAGGCAGGACAAGAGAGAGAGAGAGAGAGAGAGAGAAAGAGAGAAAGAGAGAAAGAGAGAGAGAGAGAGAGAGAGAGAGAGAATTGCGGCGCTGACGAGGGTAGATGCGAGGAGGCAAATGAGCGGCCTTTCAATCCCTTTCGCGCCCGGCGCGCGCGGCGGCGTGGCGCAGGCTGTCCGCTTGTTTTATCCCCAAGGGACGCCAGACAGGCCCCAAAAAGCTCCTTCATACGTGACGTGCAAGCGCGCGTGTGTGTGTCTGTGTATGCGTGTGTGTATGTGTGGTTGGCGAGAGGCGCATGTGTTGATTTTACACCGGATTGCCGGGACATTGTTTCGTCTAATGTCGTTTAATTCCACGCGGCAGTGGACAAGGAAGGCGCCAAGCGGGCACGGAAAGTGAAGGATTCGGTGATGGCGTTGAAACTAATTCGCCAAGCCAATTTCAGGGCGATAAGAGATTAATAGGTGGGCGCATAACATTTTTCTTCTGTATCTCACTCCCTTTTTACCAGTTACTCACTCCCAGACCTGTGCTGATGTATTTATTAGTGAATACAGTATCGATGTTATTTTAACGCAGCAGGGTTACTCACTAATTTGTTCAAATTTTATTGTGTACATTTTTGTAAGTTACTAACCGATAAAAGAAAAATTGTCAGTATTGTCAAATAGAATTATTTCGTTTTATTGGTGACAATGTTTTCAGTATCTCATAAAGGTTTTTGCGCAACAGCAATACTGACCACAGGTCAAAATAATAGGGACAGGATGAGAGTGGCTCCCATCGTGATTTGCTATCTGAACGTAGCTTAGAGGTCAGCTGAATGGTGTACAACGAAAACGATTGAACACGAGATCGCCTCGTTATACCTCCAAAGTTTCCTCTACCATATTTTATTAAAATTTGTCTTACCCGAGCCACAATAGGCTGGCGGAAAATTCTATAGACTATGTTGTCGTCCATAGCGGTTATGTCGTGGGGAAGCTCGTACTAGAATGAAATGGAGATCTTTTCAGAAATGGAGAACACAGGTCGCACAGCAGTAGCTTCCGACTCTTTCATCTCGCGTGAGGTCCTGTCACAATCAGCCGGAAATCTGTTTTGTAGAAAAATCCTGCTACCAATCTAATTGGTTGTTTTTTTGTTGTTTTTTTTCCTTTGCTGTATAATTAATTAACGTCTGCACGCCAGCCACCGACCGGTGCAGCTGCACGGCAGCAGAATACAGTCTCTTAATTGAGATCACCATGGAACTATCCATATACTAGTTTTGCTCAACTGCTAGTATTCTGGTACCCATACCATTCGAATGAAGATCCTACTCGTGCCTCTAGCACTCATGTGCCAGCAAGCCATCCACGGCAAACGATTCAACTCTTTAGTTGTAAGTTATAATACAAGTTTTCAATGTCTATGTAATATTCGCAATACATTGTTAAAAATTGTTGTCGCCAGGTGATGATATGATATTGGCGACGCCATGATGACTGCTTTTGGTTTAAAACAACTCAATTATTTTGATCGATGCCCTAGAAATGTCGTAGGTACTAATGAGGGATTTTAGCGGTGAAAAGAAATGAAGAATCGCCAAGATGGCCGTCGCTAGAACATAACAAACCGACAATTGTTTTAAAACTGAAGTCTCGATTTAGCCCTTAAATTCGTCTGTATGTAAAATCTAAGTCGGCTCTGAGTCTATCCTGAGTCAGTTCAAAAAATTTAAACCCATTGGGACCCCATTTAAGAAACGTCGTCTGCTGGTTAGTTATGTTCCGTGGCGGCCAACTTGAGGATTCTTCATTTCTTATAAACCGCTAAAATACCTCATTAGTTTGTAGCAGATGAAACCTTAAACTTTGACTAAACATAACTATACATCAGTGCTTTCATCGTGCTCTCAGACGTACTTGCACACGTAAATCATTCAAAAAATCTGTTTCGTTTCTTCTCATTGCACACGCACCAAACTTTGCAGAGCGAGTTCCGCAGCTCTAAAACTAAGAGAAACACATTAAATTTGACCAACTGACAATTTGATCAGTTGTTACAGAGCTCTAAAGTAGCGAGGAGGGCGCAGCAGCAGCCACGCTAATTGAGGGACTTCCTAAAAATTTGTGACTTACTATGAGGGTCGTTCTTATTTTTCAAGAAAGATCCCTCAAAGTTACTGACTTCCTCAAAGTTTTCCCTTTTCCCTCAAAAGATGGGACTTCGTTTTTACCGTGTGCAAACTGCATTGCCCCAAGCCAATGTTCTCGATTCCCAAAGAACTTTTCTCGGGCCAATAACACGCTTTTCTGGCTGAAGAGGTGTGGAAGGTGAAGAACGATTAACAAAAAATGTAATCCAATAAATTTTAACAGTGTATTTTGCCGATAACGTGCCTGAACTATGACCTTAAAGAATATGCATTTGTCGTGGCAATAGCCTCAAATGGTGTTCTTTTGATTAACAAATGTTCTAAATAAGGGACGATTATCTTAACGGCGAGGTTTCAGTTTCACACCTCTTTTTTCCAACAGGGCCCCTACGTGGCTTACGGAGAACTCTTTTACTCGTGTGCCCCAAACAACACCACGCTTCCCTGGAACTGGTATTTGCGTGCTTCCCACTTCAACCCATATAAACCAAAAGAGTTGCAACTTGTGACGGGCAATGTGACTGGTGTAAATGTACCTATTGATGACAGCTGCTGGGTAAGACATTTTAAAAAGTGGTGTGACATCCAGGCACTTACCTGTGAATGTCACCGGCTCTAACCAAGGTGTATATGGCAGCCGTATGTGGTACACATGAAAAACATTGACAATCATGTCCACACTCAGTCGTGTTAAATGACAACTGTATTCTCTATCAGGCGCACACGCTTCTATGGACAAGGGGCATTTAAACATTTTCGAACGTACTTTTTAGGTGCTTTGGTATCACACTTGAAGATCACACGCTTTCGAAGAAAACTTTTGTATTGTAAACCATATGTTTGTGAGCTGTGAACAATGTGAATGCTTTGTGTACAAGGCATTTTCTTCGCAGCCAGGGTGTGCAAACGCCACGTAGCAATAATGATTTTTACCTTTTCGGCATTATTTTAACGGGACATGTGAGCGTAAGTGAGTGATTTTTAGTACACAGAATTGCTGTTACCATATTACCGGAAGTGCAAAACCACACGGCACGGTAAAACAAGTTCCGTCCAGTAACGGATCGTGAAAGCAGATGATACAAATTCAAGAAATAGTCAAGTCTCAATAGAGACATAGTTTGCAAGTAATATTTCTGAATTCATTTAGTTCTGTCACTTCTTGGATCTTATGGAGGACGTCAATGGCATCCAAGACTAGGTCTTGAAATACAAGAAACTATTTTTACCGTGTGGTTTGAGACTTCCGGTGATATGGTAAAAGCAAACGATGTGGTATTTTAGGGCACAAGGAGTGGTTTGAGAGGGTATCGAAAATTATTTTCGGGCAAAAGGAGTGGTTTGAGAGGGTAACGAAAATGCATTATACTTTTACCTTCTTAATAATCACTCGCTTACGATTACGATGATGTCCACTTCTTGAAAAGACAATGCCGAACGAAAATGTGACAATAATTTTAGTTGAGTTAGCCCCTGTTTGCAGCTTACTGTCAATTTCTTCGCAAATTAACAATCAAATTCGTTCACATGGCTAACAGCAGACGCTGAAAAATTGCAAATTTGAGAAGCCTCAAATCTTTGTTATTACAGGCAAAAGTAATTGTGGATCTCTGGTCACACAACCAATGGAAAGAGAACGCCTTTATCTTAAACTTCAAAAACGGTGCATGTCACGCTCATGAAGATAATATGCCAGGATTTTACGAGAAGTTCTTCAAGATGAAAATGATGCAAGAAACTAAAGGCAGGTGCATACTCAAACCAGTAAGTACTTAGATTGCAAGTATAATTTGCTCTCGCCATCCTGTTACGTATTTATTCTGTTTGATATTTAATAATTGCGGCTTCAAGCACATAGTAATTACAATCTTATAGACTGTAATAACTTCGATCTACAGGGAGTTTACGCGGTTAATAACACGCCAGTAGACTGGACTTTTCCAAGGGTCCCAATCGTGCCTTATGGGCGCTATAGATTCAGACTCTCGGCCGGCAAAGCTGAAAACGTTTACGCATGCGTAGCGGCAGATGCTAGAGCTGTTCCAAAACCCGAGTAGGGTTCGTTATTTCATTGCTGTATACATTACAGAATACCTCGTAGCTTTAGCGCGTGGGGTCCAAATATCTCAATACACTTGGCTTTACTACTACTTTCATTGTTAATCTGACCAAGTCTGAATGGACGCCGAAATCACTATGCTGTAAAAATACCACCCCGGAAGAAATAAAGAAATAAAGAAATAAAGAAATAAAGAAATAAAGAAATAAAGAAATAAAGAAATAAAGAAATAAAGAAATAAAGAAATAAAGAAATAAAGAAATAAAGAAATAAAACTAGTGGCAGACACTGGACATAACGATTTCGTTCTCTTTATTTAAACTACTCATGTCTTCACTTCCGCTTGCACGCAAGAGACAGTCTCTGGCACTCCCTTCGGACAGACGCGGCGCCACGCTTGAGGGCCCTCCATTAGATCGCCTTACAAAATCGACTCGGCACACACAGGTGGCTGGTGGCCCCCGCAGGGCCAAGGGTGGTCCTGGTACCCTGACCAGGGCGAAGGGGCAAGAAACTGCCCCCCCCCCCCCCCCCACCTCAAGTGCACGGTCGACACCCTCGGACAAACTGCGTGCTAGCTGGCGTTGTGTCAGTACTGCGCCTTCAAGCTAAAAAACTGCTGTGATATTTTGGAGGTAGCTCTGTTTTCATATGTCATGAGATGCGCAGAACAGAAAGACCCGTGCAACGGCAACGCCAAACAATGTGACACGGGCTTCGTTCTCGCCTCAGTCAGTCGCATTCCCTCCCGTTGTCGCTTCTCGCGGTGGCTGATCCAGAGACACCATCGCTGAGAGTGAGGGAGAGAGAGGGGGGGAGAGAGGAATTGTTTCGTTTTATTGGTGACAACGTTTTCAGTAGCTCATAAAGGTTTTTGCGCAGCAGCAATACTAATGGGTCAAAATAATAGGGACAGGATGAGGGTGGCTCCTATCGTGATTTGCTATCTGAACGTAGCTTAGAGGTCAGCTGAGTGGTGTACAACGAGAACGGTTGAACACGAGATCGCCTCGTTACCTCTACCAAAATTACCTCTAACGTATTTTAATAATATTTTTATTACCCGAGCCAAAATAGGCTGGCAGAAAATTCTATAGATTATGTTGTCGTCCATAGCTGTTATGTCGTGTGGGAGCTCGTACTAGACTGACATGGCGATCTCATTAGAAATGGAGAACACAGGTCGCACGGATCTAGGACAGCTCGCCCCAGCTAACTCGCCCCAGCTAACTCGCCCCAGCTGCTAACTCGCCCCAGCTGCTAACTCGCCCCAGCTGCTAACTCGCCCCAGCTAACTCGCCCCAGCTAACTCGCCCCAGCTAGCTAACTCGCCCCAGCTAACTCGCCCCAGCTAACTCGCCCCAGCTAACTCGCCCCAGCTAACTCGCCCCAGCTAACTCGCCCCAGCTAACTCGCCCCAGCTATCTCGCCCCATGCCTAATTCGCAGTAACTGGGTGCCGGACATCTCGCCCCAGCTAACTCGCCCAGGTACAGTACAACTCGCCCCGAGGCCAACTCGCCCCGATTTTAGGGCGAGTTCCGGCTGTACCTCCTGTCAATATGCGCTTATAATTCATTAGGCTGAACGTTACCGCTCATCACCTCGGGCTTTAAACAGAACCGCTTACCTGCGCGGGTCCTACACAGAACCGCTCATTTGCTCGCGGCCGGGGCGCTGGTGAGGTTAGGTTGCCCCTCGTATTTACTATAATATCACCCTGTATCGGGGGATTTTACGGGTTAGAGCAGTTTAAATACGGTGTTCCAGCACAGACGAGAGAGTATGTTACATTTTTTGTTTCTAAATTTAAGCTCAGCGCCTAGAAACGTCCATTGAAATCTGGGAATCACCCTCCCGTATATCAGAAAGATAAGCGGTTCTGTGAAGGACGCGTGCAGATGAGCGGTTCTGTTTAGAGACCTTAGTAATGAGCGGGTCTGTGTGGACTAAAAACAAATAAGCGCATATTGATAAGAGGTACCGGGATGCAAGGTTATGCCAACTCGCCCCAATCGGCCAAATTTTCAAAATCTCGCCCCATTCCAATTTAATGGCACTCCCCAGACAAAGAGAATCCGTGCAAGTACCAGGCAGGCTCCGGCAACCCTCGGGCAGCCCCCGGGCAACTCCCGGGCAACCCCCGGGCAACCACCGGGCAACCCCCGGGCCACCCCCGGGCCACCCCCGGGCAACCCCCGGGCAACCTCCAGGCAACTTCCGGGCAACATCCGGGCAACTTTGGGCAACCTCCGGACAACCACCGGGCAACTTTCCTGCTTGTAACCAGTGCGGAGACCAGAGGGGTGGGGAGTATCAGGCTGACAGCAGCGGCCGGCTTATTGGGGCAAGGGGCGGGCAACCTCATGGGCAACTTACGAGCAGGACCCTCGCAAAGCCCTGGAGTGTTGTGGGCCTGCGCGCCGTCAGTCGCTAGCGGTGCAACGAGGTACCGCGGGTCGGTTCACGACCCTATGCCAGTGAGGACAGCAGCCGGGCATCCACCGGCAACTGCCGTGCAACTCATGCCTTTGCGCATCTCGCTCCCCAGCGCCTGCGGGGTCGATTCTCTACGCTACGCACTGTGAGAAAAGTAAGGCAGAATGTTCGTTTTACGACTTCAGAGCTACAGATGTGATTCAGGTGTCAAATCGGGCTACATTTAGACCAACCGAGCTCCCAGTTAAAAGGCCATCCCTCTAAATAAAACACAAAATTCATTTTAATTGGGGCGCGTTAGCACTGGGGCGACCTGGACTGGGGCGAATTAGGCATGGGGCGAGTTAGCTGGGGCGAGTTAGCTGGGACGAGTTAGCTGGGGCGAGTTAGCTGGGGCGAGTTAGCTGGGGCGAGTTAGCTGGGGCGAGTTAGCTGGGGCGAGTTAGCTGGGGCGAGTTAGCTGGGGCGAGTTAGCAGCTGGGGCGAGTTAGCTGGGGCGAGTTAGCTATGGGGCGAGTTAGCTGGGGCGAGCTGTCCTAGATCCGCAGCTTTCGACTCTTTCATCTCGCGTGAGGTACTGTCACAATCAGCCGGAAATCTCTGTTGTAGAAAAATCCTGCTACCAATCTAATTGCTTTTTTGTTTCTTTGTTGTAAAAGAAGTAAACGTCTGCACGCCAGCCACCAACCGGTGCGGCTGCACGACATCAGAATACAGTCTCGTAAACGAGATCACGATGGAACTATCCATTCTAGTTTCGCTTAACTGCTAGTCATCAGGTACCCATGCCGTTCGAATGAAGATCCTACTCGTGCCTCTAGCACTCATGTGCCAGCAAGCCATCTACGGCAAACGATACAACTCTTTAGTTGTGAGTTATAATACAAGTTTTCAATGTCCATGTAATATTCGCAATGCATTGTGTTTGCTCGATTTAAAGATTCATTATTTCTTTAAATTCTGCTTGGATGTAGAAAAAAACCTCTATTATTGATTCATTAAGACACTAAATGCAACATTTTGGTTACACCATTTGTTCGCTGAAAGTGGAAACTAAATTACACCATACTGAGCACAATAAATACTAGTTCTCTACCTCCCAAGAAGAGGTGTGGAAGGTAAAGAACAAGTAACAAAAAATGTAATCCAA